TAGTTTTGGATATTGGGGTTTTGTTTTCCTTATTACCGACTACTGTCTTAGCTGTTTAAGAAGGTGTTTTACAATGCTTTTTGGTCTTTCCCCTTTCAGAACTTGTTCTTACATGTTCATACTCCTTAAACAATTCTTAATATTGCAACACTACAAATTATTTTACATTATAAAATGAGAATTCCATATACCACAGGTGAATATGTACTAGGATTCAGAGTAATATAGAATGATGGTTGATGGCATATTTCTTGAGGTATTGTGGTTAACCTAAGAGGTATGCAGCATACAGATGAAAGACAAGATGATCTGTCAAATACTTCCTAAATGTATCACATCATCTGATCTGCAGTCAAGTGCACAGACCCTAGTCTGACTTAGCTCAAACTTTTTGGAGCTATATAAGAGACTGTAACTGACAAACCATGTTTTTATATCTTAGAGAAACATTTTGAAAAACTTAATATGTTACAGTGTAGGTAGTCTTGTTTCGAATGTCATGTACACCCCCCCCCTAACCCTACAAAGGTGTGTAGCTAGACTATGTGTAGATGAAGCTGTTTCACTTGATTTTCACTTTATTTTACTATAATACACAAATGTCTCTGATTGGACTCTTCTAGCTATTTTTGAAAACAATGCACTATAAAAATTGTCAGCATTCTTTTAATGTAACCCCTGCTATTAATCTGACAAAGGCCTATTTCTGTCAAAATTATTTCTGACATTTAGGAGTTTCCCCCATAGGGTTATTGTAAATGCACATGCAGTGCTTTAGTATAGGTGTTTTTCATGACAGGCAGATTGTTGTTTCGGTGAACATTGCAAGCCTTTGTCAATTTGTCGAAAAAATAATAAGAACAAAAACCTCATGAAAGGCAGTGAAATAATATTAATAAAATAATTGGTTTGGTAGTTGATTAGTTTAAAATGAAATGTTTATTACAGTAAAAATTGTATATATCTGAACACGTCTTGTCTGATACTTCTCAATTTTTTCATATGTTCTATGTTCCATGTTAAAAAATCTCAAAATGTGAACACCTACTAAATCTATGTACTTTTGATTAGTCCTACTAGCATTTGGATTAGGCAGGTTTAACTCTACATTCTGTGGGTATAGCTACCCTAAGAAGTTAAGTATTTGTTCCTGACCAAGATATTACAAGACTGATGCCAAATATTGACAAAATCTATCAAACATAAAGGTATGTAATGAGGATATGAACATCTTCTTAGGGGGTTCGATTATCATTAGCCAAGGGTACACATCATCTGAACAAATTTATATATGTTCTCAAGAAATCTTGGAAAGTGAGAGGTGGGGGAAAATGACTAATGCTGGTTATATCATGGGCTTTCTCTACTGGGCTTACAACTTGCTAAGATCTACCCCCTTCTCCCTCCCCATTTTTCCCTTGTACATTGCCTTCATTTTGATGTAAGAGCCATAAAGGTTGAGGTGCTAATCTGAATTGTCAACAGTATCAACTGGTCAAGGTCTGCACCTGATGCCAAGATAAGCCATGTCCAATGTCAATAGAACTATTTCATAGAATGGTATCAGTATGCTATGTTAGTAGATCTGAAGTAAAGGATCATAAACCCCTTTTGCTGATAAGTGATTATTTACATAATTTTGAGCAAGAGTATCATCATTTATGGTAGAGAGAGATACATGTGTTTGTCTATTTCACATACTTTTACATGAATATCATGTAATATAAAAAGCTTTTAATTATTTGACTGGAAATGCTTCATGACTTGGTGCTCCATTCATGCTCTGTCTCTTCATTAAAGCTAAGTTTGAGAATAAGTTCAGGGAGATAGAAGATTGGCTTTATTAATTACCTCATCACCTAAAGTTTCTATTGGTCTGCTGTGTTTTTGGGTGCAGCATTCTCATACAGTTTCTTTTCATGAATCCTTTAACGCAGTTTAAACTGGGTGGTTTTCAAAATTCTTAAGAAAGAGCAGTGTCTTATTGGTTCAATTTTAGGTGACTTGGAGATTTTATCTTTTAGTTAGTTCATTATAGTATTATATATCATTAGAAAGCCACATCATTGCATTCTGAGGTAGGTGTGTCATAATGTGGTTTCTTGGCATACTTTGGTGTATGAGTTACTATCTCTACCTTGACCTTATATGTAAATATATGGAATCACTACATGTATATGTAGGGATTAACCAGATACTAGGTAACATGTAGAAATATTCTAATATTTAAGAAGCTGTGAGATAACCATAACAAATATAATTTGTAACACTAGTTCTGATTGTAAATAAGAGCATCTTGACTTATCTTCGGAAAGTCATGCCTTCTAAGATCAATCTTTATGGCACACTACCACAGAACTAATTATCTACAGACACTAGTATTATCTGTGGATGGACCATTTTTGTAAAGAAGTGAAAACAAATTTTGCCTTTTTCACATATGATCATGAATGAAAGGTTATTACTATGACATGACATAGTAGTACTAAAAGAGGCCAGTTTTTATTCCTGCTTTGGAATGCAGACACATACCATCTGGCTACATTCTGCAGAATACTCCTCTTTGATGGTAAAGACAGCTTCACATAAATCAGGTCCACTTCATCCAAGCTCATGATATAAAACATCACAGCTTACATGAATGTCTTTGAAATATTTAAGATCTTAATAAAAATTATGTGTGAATTATCCCGTTTCTCGAAAAAAAGATGAATTTCAAAAACTTTTGAAGTTTGATTATTAATAATTTGCAATTCATCAGACTACATGTATCTTGGAATTTCTGTTTTTATATTTTCGTTAGCCTAACTTAAGTCTTTTCCAGGACCCTAATACCTAACAATTCAGCATCTCTAACGTGTGTCCATGTGCATGGTTATGGGTATTCCAACGTACAATACTGGAATTGGCGTTATGCAGGGCTCTGTTCTCAGTACATATCTTTTCAACCATTTTTTGGATGACTTGAAAGATTTTCTTCCCTCAGAACATGGTATAGAGTTTGAAGGTGTTTCTTTAAACCATCTACTTTGGGCTGATGACTTAGTATTAATAGCTAGCTCTAAATCTGGGGCACAATCTATGCTAGACTCTCTCTTTGATTTTTGCAGAAACTATCATCTTGTTGTCAACACTGTTAAAACAAAGGCTATTATTTTTAACTCTAAATCAGATGAAACTTTTAAATTCAATAATGAAGTGATTGCATGTGTAGAAGACTACAAATACCTAGGGTGTATCTTCAACAGTAAAAATAATTTTGATAAACAAATATGCTATCTTAAAGAACAATCTAGAAAAGCTTTATTCAAAATAAAGCAACAATATCACAAGTTTAATGACATTCCCATATCAGTTGCCTTACATTTATTTGATTCACTTGTCCAACCAATTTTGATGTATGGTTCAGAAATATGGTCAAGTAAAAAACATATTAAGTCACTTGAAACTATTCACCTGTCCTTTTTAAAAAGCATTCTTGGTGTGAAAACATCAACTGCAACCCTAGCAGTCTATGGAGAGCTGGGTCGTTTCCCCCTTAGTTTGTGCTTTGATATTAATCTTATTAAATATTGGATACGGCTTATACAACTTTGTCCAGATAACCTCCTTTATAAAGCATATCTATATGACTATGAAATGTACAGTTTAGGATTTAAAAATACTTGGTCAAGTAAGGTTCATAATATTTTAAAAGATTGTAATCTTGAAAGCACTTGGAATGAACAAGTTGTTGATGATGACTATGTATTCAAAAAGAATCTAACTGAAACATTGCACCAAAATTATAAGGAGAAATGGAAGTGTGATTTACAGTTATACCCAGTTTTAAGAACATACATTAAATTCAAAACAATTTTCGAAAGAGAACAATATTTAAGCCTTCAAAACAAAAATCACAGGCAATCAATTTCACAACTGAGATTAAGTTCACATAAATTACAAATAGAACTGGGTAGACATGTAAAACCACGGCCAAAACCTGAGTATGAAAGATTGTGTAACTTTTGTGGGGAAATAGAAAATGAGGTTCATTTCATGATTAAATGCCAAATACATAGAGAAAATAGAAGAATATTGTTTGACAACATCTCTAGCAAAATTAATGTTGATCAACATGATCCTGAAAATACATTCATTATGTCAATTTCTTCAAAAGATAAATATCACTGCCCCCAGGATTCCGTGTTTGCAGAGCGCGGACGGAATTTGCCTCTGCCCGCGGAATTGTAGAATCAACTATTTTGGTCAATTTCCGCGGAATTTTCCGCAGAATCCTTATATTTTCCAAAAGTTTAAAAAGTCAGTCTTACCTGTAACAATTTGACACGTTTTCAGTCAAATCCCTTGCAGAAATAACCCAAATTATGCGAAGTGAAAATTCTAAACGCCATCGTTTGATTTCTGCCGTTAGATGGCAGCATGTATGTAGTGACTGACTACCTGACTATCACGATATTTTCCCGTTTACTGGTTCGAAAACCATTAGTTTTTCTTTCGGTTCTCGTCAGAAAGTTAAACAAAGACATAAATTAATAACAGTTATTTATATTATATAAAAAAATGCCGCGAATATCCGCGGAATTTCTGCAGAATTAGCCATTTCTTCTTGCAGAATTCACTAATTTCACTTGCAGAATTGAGCATTTTAACTTGCAGAAAACTGGGGGGAGTGAAATATGTGCAAAAGCAAGTTGGAAGTTTTATTACAAAATCATTCAAAAACTTAAACTTGCCTGGGGATTAACATTTTGGATGCATCACACCTAAAGTATATTATAACATATGTAAATAACAAGTTTTTTTTGTATAAATTGTATATATTAGTGTAGTGTAGTGTAGTGTAGTTTTGTAAAATTTCATTTTGTAATGACTAATATGTCAGGTCATGACATCTAAAGAGTCAATAAAAGATATATATATATATTACTGGGGTTTTATACAAGACTATAGTTTCATTAATTCACACTGTTTAATCTGTTTTAATTATATACTTTCAGGAGTTGGAATTCCATGGTGTGATGCGTTTCTTCCACCATGATGATGGAGCTAAGGTTGTCACAAAATGCATTAGGGTTTCTAGCACAGCAAGCACTAAAGATATCCTTAATACACTCATAGAGAAATTCAGGCCAGATATGAGGATGTTGTCCATGCCCAACTATTCACTCTATGAGGTCCACGTTAATGGAGGTAAGCTGAGATTCAAATTACAGGGTGACGCAAAAAATTCCACCCACCCACATTATGTTACATAACCTTTTTGTCTGCATGATATATGACTTGTTTTGATCACATTAAAACTAGGCTCCATAGATCAACTCCTCAAGAAGTTTCAGATGACTAGCTTTACTAGATGCACCTTTATAAGCATTATAAGATTGTTTGGATGGGATTTTTGTGTCGCCCTGTATGAATTTTAGATTCATACAGTGCTTGAAGAAATTAAATATAGCCTATATAATACATATAACAAAATAGATGCAATATCATACATATTTTAGCACAGTTAGTGTTGAATGTCCATATGTCCATGTAGATTAGGGAATTGATGAGAAACTGTTTATTGATCTATATTCTCAGTAGGAAATACAGATAATCTGTAGACTTGAACCTCATCTTCCCAGTATTTTCACCTTACATTTTTAAAGTCTCTAGTATTGTTACTTCAGTATCTTTGTTATATATACATGTTTGCTACTTCAATATTATAAACATAAAATGCTTTAAGTACAGTTAAAATATTACAAATTGTTTAAAATAAAATGTTATGTTTATGATGTTTGCTTGGCTATCTCAGTTTTGAAACTAAGTAAAATTACTGTTAGGATTTATTGAAGGTTGTTGCCCTGGTTCAATGTTTCCCACTTGCAAACATCAAAACATCAAGTCAGTCAAGTTTGTTTGGAACTTTGATACACCTGGCCTCATTCGGCCATTTTGGGAGTAGTGTTAACTAAACATTCATTCATTCATGAAACTAAGAAATTCTTTACTCCATTGTTTTTGTTACTATGGAAATGGTGATGTCATAAGAGAGATATATATTTTGTTACCTTTGAACATTTGGTACTTTTGAAAGAGCAAAATGAAATGATTGAACATGAAATTGAATGTAAGTCTAAGAAATACCCCCCTCACCTCCAACCTGCTCCCCTTTCAGATTTAGGAGATGTGTGTATTAAAATTAGTAGTCGAGGAAAGGTTTGAAAAACAATCTATGAAACCATAATAATCATTGCTATTAATCCTCCTAATACAACTAAATATAAATATAACGTCATGTACATATCTATTCTCACAAGCTTACAGTTTTGAATCTTACTCCAGAATCTCCATTATTAAAATATGTAAATGTCTTGTATTTCCAGAAGAGCGTAGGCTACGAGAGGATGAGTACCCCCTTTATGTTCAGCTCAACTGGGGAAAAGATGATAGGGAGGGCCGGTTCCTTCTCAAGAATGAAAACCTAAAAACAGCAAAGGTTTGTGGTGCTTTTAAGCCATCTCCCATGGCAATTATTTTAAAATTATCAACATTTGAGCTCAGTATTTTGGAGAATTTAGGAATGAAATGAATGATTTGTGGCACACAATGTCCTATTTGAACAGTTTTTAGTACAATTTGGAGACCCTTAATTCACATCCTAATCCACAATCTATCTGTTCTATATAATTTTTGAAGACTTTTGTAGACTCTGCTAATGTATGCATCATTGAATTAGTTAAAACATGCTTCAGGAGTTCACAATCAGCATGCTTACAAAGTATATGTGAAATATGCAAATATGTGTAAATGCATTCAATGAAGCGAGGAATTAATTCAAATATGATTGCTTTGGAGATTTGTTCTCAAATGAGCGATAATACCTGGATAAATACATCAAAGCCTGTGGTGCATTTTACTCCCATTATTTTAATGTAGATATACATTGTTTAACATGTGTTTCATACTGTTTCCAGTTGTCAGACTCGATGCATGATGAGAGCTTAACCGGACCAGGCTTTAAACGAAAACTCTCAAAACGTGAAAAGAAAGAACAAAAGAAGAAAGAGAAGGAAGCGAGAGCAGCGGGTAAAGAAAATCTCGACACTAGCATGTCTAAAGACAGTGGAGTCGGAGAGCAGTTATATAACGAGCTTCCAGAAACTAGTTTTACAAGAACAATATCAAATCCCGAATCAGTCATGAGACGGAGAAGACAAATGAAACTCGAGAAAAAATTGCAGGAAATTAAAAGCAAAAATGGACCAGATTCTGGTAGGTTTTTTCACAGTTTTTATGTCACCACCTCACAGTTTTTATGTCACCACCATAAATGGTGAAGTATTGTTATAGTCACCAAGTTTTTTTTTTGGGATGGTGTTCAGCGGTTGGTGTTTGGCAGGAGGTGTTCAGCAGTTGGTGTTCAGTGTCTAACAAGTAGCAGGCTATGACATTTTTATGTTAATTCCTTGTTTTTCTATGCGTATCCAGGGAATTTGATGTTTTCCTAGATTCCAGGTCAGATTTTTAAGATTTCACCTTACCAGTTCATAATTAAGGCATATTTCAGATGTACAGATAGTGTTACCATGAACTGAAATGCTCTCATAATAGCATCAGTGTATAATATAACCTAAATCTGGCTTTGGTTAGTTGCCTAGAGAGGATGGCTTTTTATAACTGAGAAAATGTAGATTCTGGGAGATATTATTTCAAAATCATTAGGACTCTGAAGGCCCTGTACCAAGTTTAAACCAAGTTTAGCTTTTTACCCACTGTTATGAGGCATGATACCTTTGACATATTTGATGAGTTTTAATGTAGGAAAGTTACTCAACCTAAAAACTAAATAACTTTTTGGTGCTCAATAAAACAGAATATATGTAGGGTATAGACTGGTCATAATTTATCATAACCATGAACATTCTACGATGAAAATAAACATAGAACATAGAAGATCTAGGAGTAAAACACTAAAAGATGGTCAGTGACGGCTGTTCATTTGGCTTATATCCAGGTCCGTCTCCTTGAACCTTTAATGTACAAAACTCAGGTGGTCCAAGAATGGAGAATGAAGAATTATGGCTTTTAGGAAGGAATGTGTAATGTAACGAACCTGGTTTTTCTCTGCATATCAGTAATGCTGATGCTCATATTTTTGCCAACCATGAAATAAACTCCCGAATGTGAGCAAGTTAGTCTAAATTGAATGCATAATTAACATCTATTTTGTTTCAATTTGTCCCTCTTGTATTATATTAGTCTAAAGTGCTCATGTGCAGGAAATGGTGAAAAATTTGACAAAATGGTGAAAATGCAGAATGCTCCTATTTTTGCAAAGATATTCCCCAAGATATTACTCCAAAAAATGGGCAAAATTGTCCAAGTCAAATATCTCATAAACTTCTCTTAGTCTGAACTGCTAATGTACAAGACACATTCCAAACTATAGTACCAGAGTTCTGACAACTGTTTTTGTAGTGAACAACATATTTCATTCTTAAATACCAGAAATATAAACAATGTGATGGTAGATTTTTCAAAAGTGGATATCTTTTAAAATATTTCATTTTGAAACTCCAGTGTTTACTTCCGTAAACAAACATATTTAGTTCATAGAATTATGATATTTATACGACATTGTACAAAGACGTGAAAGATATAGAAAGTGTCCGGGATGGATCTGGAAACCAACCAAGGGGGTGGACACATTGAGGCTCATCCTATGTGGGGTGGACACATTGAGGCCCATCCTAAGTGGGGTGACACATTGAGGCCCATCCTAAGTGGGGTGGGCACATTGAGGCTCACCTAAGTGGGGTGGGCACATTGAGGCCCATCCTAAGTGGGGTGGGCATATTGAGGCCCATCCTAAGTGGGGTGGACACATTGAGGCCCATCCTGAGTGGGGTGGACACATTGAGGCCCATCCTAAGTGGGGTGGATACATTGAGGCCCATCCTAAGTGGGTTGTGGGGGAGGTTTGTCCCCCAGTGAGTGTAAATACAAGTAACCAAGTATCAGAGGCTGCTCTTTTCTCAAGAAGTAAAATCAGTCTATTGGAAAGAATAAGACTCAGAGTTTCTGATAGGTTGTTGGATGCATAACTCCTTACCGATTTTCTTAAGAGGTTTTATATCTTGTTATGTTAATGAAATTCAAAATGAAATGAAATGAAATTGAAAAGAATGAAATTCACCAATTGAAAATGTGTGGTTATTAAGATTTTTCAGAAATAGTTGGAAGTTGCCCTTCACATTTTTGCTGAATATTTTCCATCATTCACCAAGTACCTATAAATTGTATTTTTTACATTTGTTCCTATTTTTTGTTTCCATTCTAAAGTAATTTACTTCAGATTGATGGTGAGGTTTCACCTTTGAAGCTCCCAGATGTCTGCAGTGTAAATAAACATACTATGCAACTTACAACTGATAAATTAATCACCCACAAATAATGTTGGTACCTTGGAATGAAAATGAGTACATTTGATTGATTTAAATTAACCAGGGCATCATATCTTATAAATAATATGGAGTTATAAAAAGTTTGACATATCATTTATCAGAGAACATTTATGGAATATAACAATTAGAAATATATATTAAGCAGGGGCAAATTTGTTATTTAATGAATATCATATCTCATGCTGAAAAATCTGTACAACACATTTTTGGTGAAAAAACACAGAAAAGGTAGAGTGAGATATTATTGAAATCTGTAAGAAATAAGAATATCTAGAAATTATATTCACAGACAGATCTCAGATATCTATCTACCAATGAATAAAATCAGAACACTGATAAGAAATCAAAATAATATAGGAAAATATGTTATTATTTAGAGCTTTACAAAATGTTTAGTCAAAATTCTTGGTATGCTTGAAATTCTAAAGAAAAGTTACAAAGTGAAGAGATGGAGAGGAAATCATGGAATAAACATGGATAAATGGTATTTGGTGTTTTTTGCAGTGGCAATGTTTTGAATTTCTACATCATCATGTTGATTTGTCATGCATCAGGTTTCTAAACTTCTACAGCTTATACATTGGGTGGAGTTATAGGTTAATCTCATGTACAGTATGCAGACAGCACATTCTATAATGAGTAAAAAATCCCCTCGATATTCTTAAAATTCCTGAAATATATACATGTATGTCTTTTATTGACTCTTTGATGGCATGTTGATGACAATAATGTCTTTGGATCAGTAATTTGTGTTGACACTGAGATTTTTGGTTTGGTTTTCTAATCACTGTAACTTGTAAGATGATTGGCTCAATGTACTCTTGTGTCTCATCGATCCTATCTGTAATGAAAAGAAAAACTCTGTGTGGGCTCACTGTAAGGCACCATGTAAATCCTTTGGGGTAGACGGAAGGGCACAGATACACAATGGCCAAAACAAATGGCTTTACAGCAAGATATCCCCTCTCACACCAAATACAAAATTTTTTTTTAAAGAATTCATTCCCAAAATGAGTCCACATGGCCTAGAGTGACAGCTACTTTATGTGCATATGTGATATTAGATCAATTGCTGATTTTACCATATCCAAGAGAAACTCTGTCATACTATACCAGTTTTGTCAGCTGACATTCTGACATTCGACCTAGATGTCAGCACCTAATTTTTGTTATGACCTAGGTCTGATAAGCTCTTGACAAAATGTCACGATAATCACATTTGTTCCTATTGTGGTTATATGAAACGAGATTATATAGTGCACTTGAATTAGTTAAGTGCTTATAACCTGTTTAAAGCAATGTTTTGAAGAGTGTTTCCGGAAATTGTCACGAGGAAAAGCTGAACAGTTTGACAACATAAACCTTTTTAATGCATTATAGAATGCAAATTGTATTGTATTATATTTCTTTTATTGGCATATGGTCATGTCACTGCCTATAGATAGAGGTGCAGAAGGGGAAAATACAACCAATCTTGCAGAATTAAATTCTAATATCCCAAAGAAATAAGCAAGAAGTCAAGATAAATGAATAATGACCGAGATTTGTTACAAGATTATTCTTTACTTGCTGTTTTTCAATGATACATTTTGAACATTTCTTGGAGGAAAGTGCACAGACCCTTCTATACAGTCTGCAGACTAGTCATATTGCATGTGTTTTCACATGCATCTTGATAAAATACAATTTCTTATATTCATTTATACAACACTGAAACAAGACTATATAAAGAATTCCAGCTTTGCCATTTATACTATTTTGATGTTGATTTATTGTAATGCATATAAACCAGGAGAGAGTTGTTTGACTTGGATATTATACAGTACATGGATCTTGTTTAGTCTAAACTCACAAAATAGCCCCATCAAAATGTTATCTGAAATCTAACTATTGTATGTGTTGGACTATCTCTCTGGATCCGTTAACTGTAGCAGCTGTTCTCAAATGTGTAGAATATGCTTCTATTTTCTCAAAAGCTGTGGACTGGTCATATAATCTCATGCAGGGAAGATCACTAGATTAGTGTATCATAATCAGTAATCTCTTTTATTTATCACATCATTTGGGAATATAGGGACTACAGTATAGAGAATGACTCCATCCCTCCTTATGTATGTTCTTTCGGGTCTGTAAGTGGCAATTTTCAAAAGTGAAAGCCATGTGTTATTTTACACTTTTTGCTACAACTGAAAAGTATTCAAGCAATTTTGTTGAAAATTTATATACAAATACTTTGATGAATATTGCACTGTCTAGTGACAATTCAGCATATAGGTGGCAATTTCCAAAAATGGCAGCCTTGACTGTTCTAAAGGATTTGCTACACCTTGGTGTAACTGCTATCTTGTTTGTAGAATTTGGTAGATTTAAAGAATACTTCAGTTAAATATTGTATTATAACTATCATAAAAAAACAGTATTTGAATAAAAAAAAAACAGTTCTGCATTTGCAAACAGTTAAGTTTTCTTTTTTGATGACCCTTTTAATTGTTTTTTAGGTGGGACATTAAAGATCTATGGTGAGTCCATTGATACCAAAGTGCCTTATAAAACCCTCCTCCTTTCAAGTGCTGATGAGGCATCCTCTGTTGTCAAGGAAACACTCGACAAATATGGTATGGAGAAGGAAGACCCCCTTAGTTTCTGCTTAGTACAGGTAAGAAATAATGTCTTTCTCAGTAGTCTTTTTGAATATGAATCATCTTAATAAGATATTTTTCATCATAAGCAATCCAAATTCGTTTCCTCTCTCTGTCTCTTAAAAGTGCTATATTGTTGTCAACTTGCTTTGATGGACATGCAGATAGGCTGACAAGATATCTTGTCATCAAGATAGCAAGAAATTTGAAATTTTTAGAGATGCAAGAGCAAAGAGCAGACTAGTGTCAAGATCTGATAAGGTTTTGGCTTAATGCTGGTTAATTTGCTTAACACGGTGGGTTTCTCTTCTCCTGCAATGTTTATCACAGGCTTGTTTCTCGTTTCTTAGGAATATTATTTATGAACAATGGGAAAGTTTCCCAAATCCTGTGACACTTAAAGGGATAATTTTTTATTTTTGGAATTGTACAACTCAACCTTTAGCACATTATGTTTTTGTTTCCTATGTAGATGATTGTTCCCCATCAAAGTAGTCCAGAATACAAGGGTCCTGGACAAGGGAAGGAGATTATGTTGGAAGATGATGAATGTCCCCTTGCAATCCTAATGCAACACTCACCAAATGAAGGTAAGCCACGGGAAAAGTCATTTTCCGGTAGTCGTGTTTCGTTTTGTGAATGAGCTGCGCACGCACACAACTATCCAATATACTTGCTTTAGGCTAATTGTACACCGAGCTAAAGAGTACTGCATGAACCTGAAAAACCTGACTACTGAATGATACAAGCAAATATCCAGAATTTTAAGAGATAGTATACAAAATTACAGACACTAAAGGATCTTGTTATTAAACCAGTAAATCCAGAAGTAAAGATCCAAAAAGATTTGAAATCACAGAGGTGAACAGGGTCAGATAATTTTATTCATCAAGTGTAAATCACAAACTCTTTTTTTATTCACCTTGAACATTTGTATCCAAAGTGCAATATTATTTCAGGTTCTGTAATGTTCCACCTAAGGCGGAGACCCGAAGGTATGCCCAAGAGGAAGAAAAAGTCCCCAAATCAAGTCAATAGCCAGTCCTCCCTACCTCCTGGTCCTGAAAGTAGGGCCCAGGTACCACTAGAGATTCTGCCTTACCTACTAGAGTTAGACCAAGGTAAGTCCAGTTTGAAGTTTGATTTTTTTTTTGGATAAAACCCTTTATGTATTAGGATCTATTTTAGCAAGCCAACTTAAACATACTACCTTATATTTTAAGAGCAATATTACACTAGCACAGGTTTGAAGTTTGATTTTTGGGATAAAACCCTTCATGTATTAGGATCTATTTTAGCAAGCCAACTTAAACATACTACCTTATATTTTAAGAGCAATGATTACTAGCACAGGTTATGTCATGATCTAAGGAAATATACCCATGTAAGATCACGTTCTTAACATAAACTTGCATTCTATGAAGAGACACATGCTAAAGTGTTCCAATAATGCCACCATTGCTTTTGATATACATTCTGAGTTGTCTCCATTCAGACACTTAATTAGAGCAATGAAGAATCCCAAATTGTCATTACCTCCATGGTCACCACGTGTCTTCATGGTTCATTAACATGGGTGCATAATAATCTCATATTGTACCTTCAGAGGGTCGTGATTTACCTCGTGCACAGAGGTTCTACATCCACTACCAAGTGACTGAAGTCGGCAGTGAGAGGTCTATGACCAACAACCAACAGTATTTGCAGGTAAGATAGCATGCTCAATGTGCATCTAAATCAAACAGAATTTATAAGTGCATATGTATATTATGTATTACACAAGGAAATGGTATTAAAGCAGTGCTGTACAGGTCTCTTAGATTAACAGAAGAAGGAGGATAGATGATATTAAAATCACAAATTATATTAAAGGTGAATCATAAAGAGAGAAAATTGATGAATAGATAATGTATAGCTATTATCATTTCGAACATTAAAAAATCATTTGATTTGTATTTTTCAGTTAATGGGCCCAGGTATAAGTCCAGTCCATTGCGTCATCACATACACTGATGGAATAGTGACAGTGACACCCACGAGTCCTGACGCCATCACATATGTTGATAATCGCCCTGTCAACATGACAACTATGCTACAACATGGTATGGTGGTCAGGTTTGGTCAGGCAGTTTGTTTCCGATACTGCGACCCTGATGAGGTGAGTTCAGGAGATTATGTATTAATGTCAAAGCTGCAAAAATAGTGCAATTTAACAGTTAAGATATTTTGTGTTCTGTGATCTGTGTTCTGTGATATGACATATCTATCTATAATTAATAATAGTTAATTGGACAGATTCTTTTTCTCAGTCTTTCTTTATATTTCATCAATATCATCATATACATTTTGCATATCACAAATCAATATCAATCATATTACGATAAATTAACCATATAAACCACATTTTACTAATCACATGTTTTTCCACCATTAATATAAGATTAATTTTTCTTTTTTACCAGAATAATTAAAATTACCAACCCAAAAAAGAACTGTATTTTTTGAAGTGTTTTGAATATCTTGCCATGTAAAAATGTCAAAATTCTTTAGAAATATGGACTTTGCAAAATTGTTTTTGATTTATCAATCTATTCTATTTAGACCCCCAAGAGATCACCAGGGGGAGGGGGTGACCCTAATGTACAGAAGGCAGGCCCCTACGGTCCAGATGACCAGGCAATATTCGAGACAACTTTTGACATGGCAGGTGACATACAAACAGAAGTGTCACCAGGGCCTGATGGGGGCAGAGGGTAAGTAGATAATGTGCATGTTAAGTCCTTTGAATGCATTTTCTATCTCATTTGTACTTTAACATACATTAATCGATAATACATATACAGTACATGTACATTGCAGAAGTGCCTAGTATATAAGTGTGACATAGCATAGCAGGTTTCAGAATATAGAATTTAGATCTTTAGTAAATATGAAGAACTGATTTCTGAAATGAATAAGTTTGAGTTGATCATAATGTATAGTTTTGCAATTGATGTTTACAACTATCACCTTTTGTTCATTGTAGAGGAGTTCATTTCCCACCAGACCTGACTCTCCAAGCAACTCTAGAGTTCCAGGAACAGGGGGAGGATGCCTTCCTTGCATAGTTTTGTAATAACCAACACATTTTGTTCATTGTAGAGGAGTTCACTTCCCACCAGACCTGACTCTCCAAGCAACTCTAGAGTTCTAGGAACAGGGGGAGGATGCCTTCCTTGCATAGTTTTGTAATAACCAACACCTTTTGTTCATTGTAGAGGAGTTCACTTCCCACCAGACCTTACTCTCCCAGCAACCCTAGAGTTCCAGGAACAAGGAGAGGATGCCTTTCTTGCAGCCATAATAACTGAGGTCAATCCAGGGGCAGTGCAATTTAAACTAGCGCCAACTTACACACTTTACATGGCCACTAGGTATGCATTATAATACATTGTATGTGATATATGTAACTAAATGCAACCATAGAGAAGTGTTGCATTGCATATGCAACTATATGCAACCATCGATCAGAAGTGTTCGATTTTTAAATTTTAATATATTGTTAAAGTCTCCAACTTTTTTGTTGATGACGTTCGCTGGTTGGTGTTAGTTGTCTGTAACAGATGGTAACAGTATGCATGTTCATGATTCAGTTCATGATTTCACTTATAAGTTCTCATTAATTTAATCTTAATAAAACATCTTAATATAGACATCTCCATTTTTACTCATCCTCTGAACACAGTGATACAAAAAGTAATCATCATTGAAGATATTTTGGATCTAGGAGCGTTGCGGTCAGAGGTTGCATTTACTCTATTTTGAAATGGAGTTTTGTCCAAGGAAATAATTTAAGTAACTAAAATCTTATTCATATGAATTCTAGGTATAGAGTAGCCAGGACTCAACGGGCCAATATGTCCCCCTCAGAGAGAAACCACAGAATTATGTCCCTCGTAAACAAAATAGCTAGTATGATCAGACAGACTATACAGGTATGAATGATGCTTACAAATGCTCTCTGCACTTACAACATAATATATTAACATCAAAACTATTGAGATTACAAATCAAATTTTCAATTTATTTCTAAATGTTCCCTAGGTACCCAAGTTTACAAATGCATGTATGTGTAATTCAGGGTTCGAAATTAGCGTTGCGGAAGTAACGATTCGTTCCTTTATTTTCTCAAATCGTTACCTAGCAACATGGCCAAGTAACGAAAACAGTTTCCTGGTTTATGGGAAGATCTCTACATGATCGTCAACTCAACTTCTCAATTGAAAAACTGATGAGAAAGAAATGCTGCCGTGATAAAACTTTTTTGAATTTTTTTCTTTGGCACTTTTCGTCCTCTTTCACTTCAGCTTTTAGACTATAACTTCTCAAAACATAAGATAAAGTGTTTACTTACCATACGGACTCTTATTTTTCTAAATTAAAGTCTTAAAAACCGGCAATTTTTAGGTAAAATCACCGTATTATTAAGATACTTTTTGAAGTTTGCACTTCCTGTTCTCAGATTAGAGTGGGAGAGGGAGACATCTATTGAGAAAAATACTAGTAATTGCTTTCAATAAGCATACCCCCTTCAATAAAGTTTGCAGTTCCCATTTCACCATGTAGATTTGAAATAAAAAATAAAATCTTGGGGAGGGAAAGTCTAAAACGCAACAGCTGCATAAATTAAGCAGGTTGACCTTTCACTTAGAGCCACTTAGGAATGTTTATTATTGTGGGAAATTTAAATTTGAATGTTGAAACAACATGATTGGTCTATTATAATTTGGTCTGATCACATGACTACCACTGTGTATGTTCTCATAAGACAACAAGTTTTCTCTGAATTGTTTGACTTGAAACATTCTTCTGAGGTCTTCTAAAGGTAATTCTGTTTACTTTTGAGTCAGAAAATACTATTTTTTGAGGCAAATATATCTATTATTCAGAAAATTTCCTGGTGTGATTAACCGTAGACATGATAGATACATGTTCTTAGTACTATCTCTGCAAACAAGGCATGAAGTTTCAAATGTTATCATTGAATAATAATTAATAGTAACTTGAGATCGAACAGATCGATAGACTTGTTTTTAGTGTCAAGGAAAATTGTGTCTATCGAAATTTTTTCAACCGGTAAAAACAACTACCTTACTTTGGAATTTAGTTACCTAGAAAAAATGTCAGGTAACTATTTTCACTACCAGCCTGAAAAGTTAAGTTCGAACCCTGTAATTGAGGAAATAAAAATATAACTTTTTACAAAACACGTCATGTCTAGTGAAGTATATTGAAAAGAATAATATCAATTAACCCTCTGGCATAATTGAAGGAGATTGGCCATTTTGCATTAAGGTCACTGGAAGTGTGACTTAATGACGACTTTGGCAGCTATATTTGTAAATTGAATACAAATATTGCTTCACTTTCCATATAAATCACAATAACATACAAGTCATGTAGACACCAAAATGCCATACAATTATTTAAACCCAATACTAATTATCTGTTACATTCCTTTCCAGGAAAATCGCAATAGTGCCCCAGTACTTGCATTCTGGATGGCGAATGCCAGTGAATTGCTACACTTCTACAAGATGGACAGAGATATTAGTCAGTATAGCATAGAGGCCCAGGACTTGCTGGCCGAGGCTGTGCAGATTACATTTAGACATCTGGTACACTGTATGCAGAATGAGCTGCGTAAAGTCATGCCTGGTTTTATACAGGATCATGATGAAGATTTGATAGAAGGTGAGTGATTTGTGATGAAATTTTAATATTATGTCACTGGAACTAAACCAGACCTCATGTATCTGGGGGAATTATAGCTTAAGGCATTGAGCTTTATTTATTAGCGAACTCGGTGGTATGGCTTCATCAACACTGATCATAGAATGGTCATGGTTAGTACTTGTGGATATGCACAGGTGAACAAATTCAAAAAAAATTTTAGATCAATTTTGGTTTTGTCTGAGGAAGTGAAATGAGGATTTCTAATTTTATGATAGACTGCTTCTTACTTTTTGTTTCCAGATGAAAATCAGAGGAACCCTAATTTCAACCCTCCCAGGCCAGACATGGAGGATGTTCTTCAAAACCTGTCAGCCGCTATGTCGTTACTTCGACGTTGCCGTGTCAATGCTGCTCTGACAATCCAGCTGTTTTCTCAGCTCTTCCATTATGTAAACATGTGGCTGTTCAATCAATTGGTTGGTGACCCCAGGTTAGTCTTTTGTATTTTTATGTCACCACCACGTGTTGTCATTGTTACATTCTCCAACCCCTTTGTGGCGGTGGTTGGTGTTCCGAATTCAGCATTTGTAACAAATGAAAAATGGTGAAATTTTACATGTTAATGCCTTGTTTTAATAACTAATAAGTTTACACAGAATTCCATATTTTTGATCTTTTAGAGTTTACAAAACATATTTTTGATGGTTGGAGAATATACCATGTTATGTAATCCAAATAATGCTAAAGAGGATCATCCATGACATTCAAAACTGTTAAATCTCCAGGTCAGGGCTGTGCAACAGAGTGTGCGGGAGACGTCTAAAATTGAGGCTATCAAGGGTTGAGATATGGGCTGAGAAGCAGGGCTTAGAACTAGCTGCTGATTGTCATCTTGCCAGGATTGTACAGGTATGCAGGTCTCACTCTCTTAGTTTATGAACTCTTTGTTACTTTCTTATGTATAGTATCCTATGATAAATGCCTCTGATGGTTTATGGTTCGGGTATAATTGAAAAACTGGTTATTTTATTAACCGAGAACCCTGTATAGCAAGTGAATTTATTGACTAAAAAGTATTGAGTATAACTTAATTGTAATTAATGGGGTTTTGTTAATGGGTTCGTGAATACATTAAGTGACTTTGGAAATATTTGAATTTTCGTGTTATTAATTATAATTGAAAACATGAAAATAGTGGATTCAATTTATCCAAGTGAATTTGGAAATCCTAAGAATTGCATGTCATGAATTCCACATGAAAACATGAAAATAATGAATTAGATATGTTTCAACTTCCAGGCTGCTGTGCTTCTTCAGACCCCTAAGTTAAACAGGGACGACACTGCTTATATCAGTAAGACTTGCTTCAAACTGAACTCTATACAAATCAGAACATTGTTGGAGAACTATCAGCCCCTGCAGGGGGAGCCACCTGTTCCCCCAGAGATGGTTTATCAGGTAAGTGTTGAGTTCATGAGAGAAATAAATAAAAAAAATTGTTAATTAAGATTGAATTTTTTAAACATACTCTACAAATGAACTTTGAAACTATAAATGTGAAATGTATCTGTACAACTCTGAGCCTCATTTTGAAACAAGTACAGCATTGAATAAAAAAGCAAAATGATCGAGCATTTTGTAAATGCTATTTTGTGTACGCATATTTGCCTCACAGTAAGAATTTGAAATTAAGAAAAATCTAAACTCCACTGGTAGGTCTAACCAAACATTGACGTCAAGTTTGAAGTCTACCTATGGAGGTCTATGGCAAATTAAAAACTGATATTTAAAAAACATTCATAGATATACAGCATTTTCTCTAAAGCTCTATGTCCTACAATGGCCTGTTATTATTTTCTAGCTGATCCAAGTAGCTGAGGCAACAGCAGATGCTACAACAATGGCAGAGGGTAAACAAGTTCAGCTTGAGGAAGAACCTGATCTCCAACTTCCATTCTTACTCCCAGAGGATGGTTACTCGTGTGATATTGTAGAAGGGGTCCCTACTGGGCTGGGAGAGTTCATAGACCCCTTGAGTCATACTGGTAAATAAGCATTCTGTTCTTAACTACACTTTCATCTATTTAGAGGGATTAGAAGGGATAGAGACAAGTTGAGATGATGTTTTGAAGAGTTGTCACAGTTTACAATATTTTTACTTATTCTTATAGTCAAGCAGTCAAAAAGGTAACATCCTTTTCTCAGTTCTAATGAATTTGGACGATTCTCGTAAAATTGGTATCTTACAGTTGCTTACACTCTATATACCCCTTCAATTCCTTTAACTAACTTAATGTTAAGCTTAAAGATTATTATCTGAGAATATATGAGACTTGATTAATTATGATAATTTAAGAAAACATTATGCTGAATCAACATAGTCTAAATATCAGTCTTCTTGAAGTAGGAATTTTCCATTGATTAAATTTGAAAATGACTGCATTTAGTGCCTCTTCACACTGGTTGTACCAATTGATTGTTCCGATAGCCATTTTTCTGATATATCAAAAGATGGCAGAATTTATCAGAATGATCTGATATGTAAGGCTGTTGAATTCTTAAAGAACGATGTTAAGTTAACATCTAAGAATGATAAATAGAAGTATATAAAGGAAAGGGTGGCAAATGGCTGCTTTTGAGATACACTTTGTGAAATCGTATTTGCTTCATTTCTAGGTATATGTAGAGTGACCATGCACCCAGACTCCCCCCAGCTGTGGACCATATACATGGTAGGCCAGGAACCAACCAACTTATCAACTGAGGTATGTCTCTCTTCTTATATATATATATATCAGACCCTTAATATTATAATGTTCAGCAATATCTTTACCTATTTTGAGAAAAACACTGTTAACATCTGGACAACAGCCCAGAAGTTATGCACAGGGTGTCAAATAAATATGTTCTCCCCTCAATGTTTAACATCAACGCATAATGTTTCATAACTTTTTATCTGCATAATATCTGTATTTTTCTTTTGCGCATCAAAATTACGCTATTTATTTGACACCTTGTATATGTCCGGATGATCAAAATTCAAATATATGACCCAAATATGTCACTTCATTAGTCAAGAGTAAATGTGGATAATATTTTGGGATAATAAAAAATAGGTAAAACAGCTCTGGAACAGTACTATATTAAGCAAACAGTGTCTGTATGAAATACACTAAAACATGCTATATTTTGTACAAATAGGTAATAAAAAGGAATGTTTTTCCAAAAAAGTGTATCACTTACTTTGAGTTGAAAAGTTTTACATTACTATTGTTCAAAATAGAAAATAACGAAATCTTGTATTAGAAAGAAACTGAATACCTAAGATGATTTGTTTAGGTGCAATTATACTGTATATGAGATATTTAAATTGTTTGTAACATTTTCCTATATAGGGAAACTTGGAATTTGGTATATGTAGAATGTAGATATAGAGCACATTTCTGTAAAAAGATGGCGATATAGCTTGGTTCTAGCCATGCTGGCATATATTGGCAATTCATATACATCTGTACTATTTATTATTCAATAGTGGCATGATTACTTTTAAGTTTGTGTCACACTTAAGCTTGAAGGGGTGTCACAACAAGAATTGAAGGGGCGTTACACTAAAAATTGAAGGTGTAAAATTATTATTAATGCTTCATGCAGTGAAATGAGTGATACCTCATCATTTTTATGATTCCACAAAGTTCCTATTTTATAACTAATTAGATATTTGAGACTTATTTGTCTCTTTATCGTCTAGTTTCATTTTTATTACTGATTTTAGTCAGGTATTGATAATGACAATATGACAGAATATATTGATTTATGTGAATGAAACATTTTAATAGCTGATTTGTATACTGAACTATTCTTGGTACACAGGGAGATGCGCTGACGCTGAGTACTAAAATAGTACTCAGCGCATATTAGCGCTTATTGAGTACTCATTTCAGTAAATATTAGTACTAAATGAGCACTTATGACATGAGTACTGATGTATTGCATGTTTTAGTACTAAATGAGTACTCATATGATGAATGATGAAATAGCAGTAATTTCATTGAATTAGCGCTAAATTGGTACTTATATCATGAGTGATAAGATAGTACTAGTAAAATCGATTTTTCAGCACTAAATGAGTACTCATGAATTAGTACTAAATTAGCACTCGTGACATTAGTGCTCATGAGCGCGCTTTTGGCAGAGTGCTAATTTAGTACTAATTTTGTACTAATTGAGTAATCGGCATATCTCCCTGTGTATAATAGTTGTATTAAACATGTTAAACGAGTCTTAATTGGAACTGTTTTGCTCTTCTACATGTATATGTCTCATTTGCACATGCATGCTTTTTTTACAATGCTTTATGAAATATACTTTTTGTCTTATGTATACATTATACTATTACTAATTAACAATCTGTTACTATAATATAGTAACAGATTCATCATTGAAATGAATGACTTAATAAAAAAATAAAAATAAATAAAAAAAAAATAAAAAAAAACTATAGTCTAGTAAGGTTATCCTGTTCTGCATATTAAATGTGGTTGTTTAATCCATGAATCCATGATGTATCAAATGGTAGTTATTATAGAAATAAACGGAAGCTTTTTAATTATTTAGATCTAAAGCACTAATGTAATTGTTGCAAAGTAACATTGATCAATTAATATGTTCTCTAATACTCCCTCAACCTCTGGCATTTTATCTGAATGCTCTAGCATTTTATATGAATGCCCATTTTTCGACATGCAAGTTAAGTTGCATTTTTCACAGTTTATTAACATGTATGATATTACAAATTACGATTTTTTTTTACTTTATTTCTTTTTTTGTTTTGTTTTTGGTTAAGGTAGTTATTAAATACTCCATGCTATAGCATAAGAGCAATGATTTGACCAGTGTTCTACTTCAGAACATTTGAATTGTTTTGATAAATGAGTTTTTTAGTTCATACATATAATAGTTTGGATGGATTTAATGAATTACACCTAATAATGGCATTTCATTTTAATGTCTTTTTGTATCATATCAGGTGAAAACACATTAACCTCTTGACTACCCAGAATGATGAGATTTTTCGTCACCTCAGAAATGACCTTGAAACCCAGGGTGACGAGATAATCCGTCATTAAATTTTTCACTAAAATTGCTCCCATTTGAACAATTTTCATGGAATTTACACAAAAATTGTTTTAAAATGTCTAGAAATGATCTCCGCCATCTTATTTTACTAAAATGAGCATCACCTGTTGTACATGTATTTAGTAGCTGGCAAAAATGAAAAATTCTCTGGTTTCAACAGATTTTAAAACCTCGGATTCAAATGGTTAAAATCTTGAGTAGGTTTCAATCCTATAGAGATGGAGATCACTGGATAGCTTGCTATAATGCAGTCTAGAATGAAATTAACAGTGTTGTTAAGCAGAGTATAGTATGCAACTATGCATGAATAGCTTAACATTCTATTTTTGAAGGACAGAAATGGGGTTGATTATTCAAATATTAAAAACAAAGAAAGAATAAGGCGTGATGGCAATGACACTTTCAATACTAGCATATGAGAATCCTCACCGCACTAAGCAAACATCATAATGGCATTTCCCTTTTAAGCACCCCATTTAGAAGTGAGAGTACAGTTGGAGATGGTTTTAGTATGATTCATGTTACATTAGTAGAAGGTATATTGATTGGAAAGTATTGGAATGAGTGTCTATTTAGTTTTTACATTGTGATGTATGGGACCAGTATTTGTTCTTATAGTCATACCTTTTAGGGCGACTCAAAAGGCTTAATTTCTTGGTATTGCTCCAAAATGTCATATCAGGCGTTTGATCTCTGCTTATTATGAAAAAGATCAATAGGCAATGTTTGAAAAACAAGTTGATGCAATCTTCCAAAATTAATAATAATTATTAATTATCCTTTGAAATATAAGCTTTTAAGCCTTCAATGACCTTTTCAAGGTCAAAAAGTTCTTTTTTCAACCTGCTTCAAATTAACCATTTTTGACCTTCAATGGCGTCTTTTTTCAACTTGCTTCAAATTGACCATTTTTTCCCCCAAAATTACTACAAGTTCTCAACATTTCAAATCTGCCTTTAGATTTGATCATTAAATGACATTCTCAAGGTCAAAATATTTGATCTTTAGTGACCTCCTCAAGGTCAAAAAGGTATTTTTTATCTTGCTTCAACTATGTGACATTTTGTCATGTTAATGCCTTGTCTCATTTTCAACTGGGTGCAAATGGATTTTCAACTGGGTGAAGCCTAATTTCAAAATCTCAGGTGGGTGCTGGGCTTTCTCTGTTTCATACATGGGAGATCACTGTGATTCATATATCCACTAATTATACGCTATCTTGGTTTTGTTAATAATTTAGAGGTACAGTAATCTATTCCCAGAGACACACCTCACAATGCAGTAGGTGATTACGTCCTGATTTAGAACCTACACAGTTTAGTATGTAGGGACCTAGTTGAGTAAAGAATGGGGAAAATATCACCTAGCAGAGAGCTAGACGTGTGATTGACTTAAGATTATATGGCTAAAACACTCAATTATTCTTGAAGTATTGCCTCTTAAGAAAACAATAATAATTTACAAGTCTGTATAACATTCAATTAACTACAGCAATGCTTGTGAATAGTGAACACCTATGATAATTCATTAAAGCAATGCTTGTCTTAGTGAACATAGAACACCTATGACATTCATTACAGTACAGTCAAATAATTTTGCATCTCAAATTGATGTTTTTTCTAGTGTCCTTTGACTTTTTTTTTCATCTATTGATCATACTTATACAGTTAATCAATCATATCAGTTGCTTTCAAAACCTTGGTTTGACATTGAAGAGAAGGGCGAGAAAAGGTTAATTATCTAACTTAGATTATGGTAGATCAAAGAACATTGAAAATAGACAGGGAAAACTGACACCTGTATAATGTTTGATCTAAAGATAATTTTCTTATAAGAATGTACTTTTAACATGGCATGATACCTCTCTGTCTGATATTTGAATGAAATGACTGATTTTTGGAAATTTTATACATGTGAATTAAAATTGTTGGATATATCCGTTATCATATGACTTTTCTTGGTACGATACAGGTATCGAAAAATCACAACTTATATTATGCTAATGTTGGTATTAACTCAAAATTGATAAGGATAATGATGATGATATCATTCAAAATTCTAGAAAATTAATATGTTGTTCCAGGCTTTATCCCTGTTTCTTCCATTTTTATCTTACTGTTTTGTGGATGATGTTCAGAGGTTGGTGTTTGACAGTCAGCATCTGTAACAAATGGCAGGTAGAAAAATTTGCATGTTAATACCTTGTATTTAAGACATGACATTCTTGCAAAGCTCAGACATTGTTTGGTCTCTGAAATATAAATGTTTATTTTTATTCAGTGATAGTGTTACTAGCAATCTGATTGACCCATGTGATGTAAATATATCCTGGTGCGGGGAGCCTCGTGACATGCAGACCCTATCAGGCATATTTTTTCCTTTTCTTTATCTTTTCTTTAATCGAATCATTGAATAATTTATAATGTTTGTTCAATCATAGTACAATGATTTGGAAAAATAATAGGTAACGTAAGAATGTTGTATTATGCAAATCCACATCAGATGGCATTAATACATCGATGTTTTACAATGTGACAAGAATTTGAGACCGAAATAATCAATCTCAAATCTATGAAGTAGGATTTTTTATTATACTTTTTTATATCACTACCAAAAGTCGTGACACATT